GCCTTTTGGTGGTGGTGGTTTTAAAGTGCCATCACATACAGGGTTTCCAGGAGCAGCTGGTGGGATGGAACTGCTGACCTTGTGACCCAGTGCTTATTTGACAGTGCCACCCTGTCAAGTAAGTGTGACTTTTGGTTAGTAGTCCATTTTGCCACTCAGGGACTCCATTTGGAGGTGGTGTTGTTGGTTGGTAAGTGCCGTCGAGTTGATTCCAACCCATAGCGACCCTGTATAGGGTTTCCAAGGAGCAACTGGAGAGCTTGAACCACCAACCTTGCAGTTCAAACACCTTTGTAGTCTGACACATTAGCTCGTGTTGTTGTTGTTGTTAAGTGCTGTTGAGTCGGTTCCGACCCATAGCGACCCTACACAGGGTTTCCGAGGCTGTAAATCTTTACGGGAGCAAAACACCTCATCTTTCTCCCACAGAGCGGCTGGTAGTCTCGAACTGCTGGCCTTAAGGTTCACAGCCCGATTCGTAACCACTATGCTAGCTCGTGTTAGGTACAATTAAAAAGCTTCAAACCACTACTTGTACTTTCCTACTAAGCTTTCACCTGTAGCAGCCTTTTCTCCCCTGAGAGAAACAGCCCCGGGGTGAAAACACCACGAGTGAGAGGATGAAGAAATGGAAGAAGACCAAGGCTGCCTCTGCTGAATCAGAAGAACCCTGAAGACGGCAGGGACTATGGTCCACAGCCCCAAGGCGCAGGGCTAAAATGTCCACCACCTCCAGTGAGACCTGAGTCCCTGGGTGAGGCAAACAGTTAACGGAAAGGTTGGCGGCTTGAACCCATCCAGAGGTACTTCAAGAGAAAAGCCTAGCAATCTGCTTCCAAAAGGCCTTGAAGCCCCTATGGAGCATACATGGTGTCTCAGTGACAAAAATGCCCAAGAAACTGGTTTATTATTTTTTTTAATCAAACTTAGTACAGTGACCCCTCCGAGGCTGTAAGTCTTTACTAGAACAGAAAGCCTCATCTTTCTCCCGCGGAGCGGCTGGTAGTTTAGAACTGCTGACCTTAAGGTTCGCAGCCTGATTCGTAACCACTACGCTACCAGAGCTCATGGGAATTTCCTACCACTTTCAATTCTGACATGCCACGATTCTAAGAGAAATGAGCTTAAATGTAGCCAGGGAGGAATTATCTTTGAGCAAACTGATGTGGCATGGAGGCAACTTCTAAAGAGTCCTGGTGTGATGCTGTGGGTTAATGCGCTGGACTGCAAAGTCATTTGAACCGCAAGATTGGTGGTACAAGCTCACCAGCTGCTCCTCAGAAACCCTATGCAGGGTCGCTATGGGTCGGAACCAATTCGACAGCACTTAACAACAACAAAGAGTCCTGGTGTGGCGTAGAATAAGTACTGGACTGCTGATCACAAGGTTGGTTTGAAGCACAAGGTTGTTGGTTCAAACTCACCAGCCACTCCTCAGAAATCCTATACAGAATCACTATGAGTCAGAACCGGCCGGCAATTTACAGAAAGTATAGGTTTCAGATGTGCCTCCGGTGTCCCACAATGCACCTCTACGTAAAGCCATCCTCCTTAGTATCATTTATACTTTAGCTTCTTCATGAGATTACAGGAATATCTACAGGAATGAGACATACACACACACAAACCACTTGTACAGACGAGCTGAGGAGGCACAGAGAAACGCCACAGACAATGCGGCTGAATAAAAAGGCTCCTTTTCTCCAGTCCCGGGCTCTCCTCCCGCCTCCCCCTGCGCCCAGGGGTCCCACAGAGGGCTCTTGGCTCTACACTCCATTTAAGGTCTGAAACCTCCTTAATGAAGGTTCTCTCACAGTCTCATGTTTACAGCAGTATTGACAACGACCTAAGCTTTGAACAAGGTCGGTGGTTCAAACTCACCAGCCACTCCTCAGAAATCCTGACGCCACTCTGTTGCCCACACAGTCCTAATAATCTTGTTGTACACCGCCACGGTTCCTGCTGCACCAAGTCCAAAGTTCTGGGAGCACGGAGTGTTTCACTGAGTTGCTTCACCAACTCCAAGGCAAGGGAAGAAGTCCCCGTTCCAAGAAGAGGTGTAGTTCATTATTGGACAACTTGAAGGATGGGATCAATGCCAAGTTCAGGAAATGACCCCAGATAGAATGTGGGGCAGATCCATAGCAAGAGCACCAACACCACCATCACAGGTTTGAAAGAGTACTGAAAGGTCACTTTATCCTAGTGCGCAACAGGAACGAGAGTAAGCAATCAGCATAATGAGGGGTCAAGAACATTAAGGCATTGTCTTAGGCCAGGTTTTCTAGAGAAGCAAGCCCACTTTATTAAGAAAATTGCTTACAAGTGCAGAGTCCCAGGTGCCCAGGGGAACAGAGAGCGCAAGAGTCCCGCACACGTGTCTATTATTTCAGGAGCAGGCCACACCCTCAAAGAATCATCCTTTCAACTGATTGGCTGCTCATAACTACTCCTCAGCGTTAACTATGTCCGGCCGTATTAGATTTCATCACCACAAGGATCAGCACATCCCAACAGCTAAACCTCTGGAAATCTTGGCCATGTCAAGTTGTCACAGAACCCTAACCATTACAGGCCTTTAAAAATAAAACCATTTAGCCCTTAAAATATGTATCTATAAATCCAAAACCCAGTAGTACACGGACTTCAAAATGAGTGGTCATTGAGTCAGCTGCGACTTCTGGTGTCTCCACGTATGTCAGAGCGGACAGTCCACCACAAGGAGGACTTGGGGAAAGCAGACTGCCAGACTGTTTTCCTAAAGTACTTCTGGGTAGACAACCCATTTACCTTTCAATTAGCTGTAAGCCTGTTAACCATTTGCACCGCCCAAGAATTCCAACTACTTAACATTTACTGTAAATTCAGCTTTTCTTTCTTTTTTTTTCCCCCCTCATTAAAACACTCCTGTGGAGTGTGCCGGCCACCCAAGAAGCCTCTGCCTCCCAGGAACAGGCCAGGCCTTGCGCTGGGGCACTGCGTGTCTCCACTGCCCACTCTGCCTCCTGCTCTGCAGAGTCCCTAGCATGGCTCTCTCTGCACAGCCCAAGCCCCCACTAACCTTGGCCTAAGCCTGATATGCTCCTGTTTGGATCAGTCACTGGATAAAAGACTGAAAGCATGTCAGAATTTGGCTAATTTCTGCCCCAGGCGATAAAGAAAATTTACAAGCTCTGGTGAAGATGAATACTGTAACTTCTAAGTCCAACCTGTCTTATAATACCAAATTTACTATTCCTGACTTCAAGGTGGGGCCCTTGGATTCCCTTGTTGGTCTCTCTGATGAGTTGGGGACACTCGATACCTTTGCTGAAAGCCTTATAAAGAGAATGGCTCAGAGCGTGGTACAAGTAGCAGAAGACGCAAAGGTGAAGATTCAGGAGACCCTCCAGGCCAACGGAGTTGACTTAACATCCTTTGTGACATACTTTGAATGGGACGTGGCCAAATACCCTGCAAAGCAGCCGCTGTTGACTGTGGTGGCTACACTCGCAAAGCAACTAGCACAAATTGAGACAGACCTGAAATCTCGAACAGCCACTTACAACACGCTGAAGACGAATCTGGCGAAGTCCATAGGCGACCTCTTCAGTCGGACACTGTGCGACATTGTGAGCAAAGACGATTTTGTGTTGGATTCTGAATATATCATCACACTGCTGGTTGTTGTTTTCAAACCACACTACACACAATGGCAAGAAACCTATGAACCACTTTCAAACATGGTGGTACCTCGATCCACCAAAGTGATTGCCGAGGACAATGAAGGTGGCCTTTTCACGGTGACTCTGTTTCGAAAAGTGATTGATGATTTCAAGACCAAGGTCAAAGAAAACAAATTCCCTGTTTGTGAATTTCACTATGATGAAAAAGAAATTAAAAAGGAAAGGGAAGAAATGAGCAGATTGCTACTTGGTAAGAAGCAACAGCATGGTGCCCTGCTGCACTGGCTCAAGGTGAACTTCAGTGAGGCTTTTATTGCCTGGATCCACATCAAGGCCTTGAGAGTGTTTGTGGAGTCTGTGCTCTCACATATGGACTGCCTGTCAGTTTCCAGACAGTGCTCCTATAACCTCTTGAGAAGTCATCCCCCAGATGTTCAAGAGAAGTGCTCAATTCCATCTTCAAACACTTGGATATTGTAGCATCTGCAGGTATACTGGATGCCTCTGTGGGGATCCCTGGATTACAATTTAATAACCAAGATTATTTTCCTTATGTCTACCTCAGCCTTCTTGACTAGAAAGGTCAGCTGGCACGAGCTGTCCCTTCCATGCACACTGCTGCAGATGCTTCTTGCTCTTAGAGGATTGTTTAAGCCTATGTAATTTAGGTTTTCAGAGACATTGCTCACAAAGTTAGGTACAGTTGTATGTTTTTTTTAAAGTAACAATAAAGAAATGCTCACAAAAAAAGCTTCCAATTTCTGGCCTTCCTGAGAATTTGCTTCCCAACACATGAAGCCTCAGCTTCTCATTGTTCTCAAGGAGGAAGTTGCCGGTAGGAGACCACCACCACGACCTGCTGCCCTCCGAGGCTGCGCAAACACCAAGTTTTCTATCTACAGATGAACTGCCTAGTCTTCAAACTCTGAAAAAACAGGGAGGTGTACCTCCTGGGGACGGGTGAGGCTGAAGGGCAATATCTGCCCAAGGATAAAGGTGAGAACGGTTAGGAGAAAAGGAATAGAAACAGAAGACGCAGGAAGAAGGTGGGATGGGATCATTCCATTGAGAGAACTGCAATCAATGAGGTGAGGTGAAATGTGTATGAGTTACTGGATGGTAAACTGATGATCTGCTTTGTAACCCTACACCCAATACACAGTAAAATGTTTTAAATTAAAAAAGTGAAGGGTTGATAATAAAAAGAACCCCGTAACCGTTTACCCTTTCTCCAAAGGAGAGTCTTTATCTGGGTCTGGGTCCATGAGAACCGGATACAGCTTTGCCACTGACTTACGCGCACCAAAGAGATGACTTGCAATAAATTGTTCATACAATGCAAACTTTTTATTTGGCAAAATCACATAACACAAAAAATCAACAATTAGAATAAATAGCAAATCCACATTCAGAATAAATAGTTAAGTCTACCTAATTTGCATCTACTGTGTCTGATACCAAACAGGCACATCTGTCATTCCACTAAATAATTAGCAAGCAGTTGGCTAAGTCAGAGTTCAAGGCTGCAGCTCTCAAGTACAGAAACAGCAAGGTCAGCCAAGGTCACGTGCAGAAAGTTTACAGGAGTGCTCTTGGGATCCACCCTCAGGAGAAGGGGAATAAAGAAAGAGGGCTGGCTGAGGGAGGTGGGCTGTCAGGCAGACAGTCAAGGCTGCAACAGGTGTTGGGGTGAGGAGGTGAAGCCTTTGTACTCCCAAAGACCAGTCAGGGATTATAGGCTGCTCCAGCCAGGGAAAGTAGCCTTGGGGGAAGCAGGGCTCCTCAGCAGATGAAATGCCCAAAGAGGACTAGCAGCTACTGGGATGAGCGGTAGGTTGGTCTATAGGTTGGCCAGCAGCACAAGCAAAAACTGGGGGAATAAGTCCTTCTGTTCTGAAGGAGAATCTGGGAGTACAAGAGGTATATTGAACTAAGATCCGAGCCTGGCAGCTCGAGTTCAAAAAATGAAGTGATTATGTGCCATGTGTCACAAGTACAACACTTTGCTGTATTTACCAGGTCTTGCCGGGGAGTGTGGTTCGCAGAGTTCTTGTGGAATGGGACAATCTGAAGAAGGAAGGCAGAGCCAAAGGAAGGTGAGACAGAACCTTTATTGCAGTGCGGTGTTCGGGCCGCTCGTTCAGGTTCGCTACTGAGAGATTCTTTAAACTGGCTTAAACAAAAGAGACCTGCTGCCAACAACATTACATCACTGGTTACATGAGCATCAACTGTCATGGCGCCAAGCTGGGCCGCTGACTCACCAGGGAGGCCCTTCAGGCAGAAATGGGCGAAACAGCCCGACTGACTCTACTTTCCCTACACTCCACCCCTTTCAGGGGTTCTCGCCTCACAATGTGCACGACAGGAATCTTCCACGAGCATCCCTGTGTGAGGAGTGAGGAGCTGTATCCACAAATCACAACATAAACATCAACATACTAGGAAGAAACATGCAATCCGTATTATTACTGCCTAGGCTGTGTGCTAGCCACTAGTCAAGGATGCCCACAATTCCTGGAGGGGGTCACCTGTTAATTGTTCAATGGCTTGGGTTTCCTTCTGCAAGGTCCACTGTCAACACGAGAACCCATTCCTGTTACAAAGTTACCAGGGGGGCACTTTGTAGGCCCACTTTGAGGCCCTTTCCCCACAGGGCCAGAAGGCCATCCACCTCAGGTGGAGGTACCTTATTTAATTCCTGGTAGTCCACTGTCATACGTCAAGTCCTGGCCAGCTTCTGCACCAGCCACATGAGGGGTTATAAGGACTGGGGTGGACGTACAATCCCCACCTTTTCCAACTCATTTTATCACGTTTGTGATACACGTGGGCGTTGGGAGTTGGAAGGGGCTTGAGCGCATGGCCCCTCACCACTGCTTCCACAACTCTTACTCAAAGGTGAAACTCTCCAACTGTAGTCTTCAGCCACAGGCCCTGTTGAACACGTCCACACCCAGGATGTACTCAGGGACGGGGGATACGTCCACCTAACAGGTATGAGGAGGCAATCAGCCCGCCCCTGTATCCGTCTATCACATCCCTCCTATATGTACCTGGGTTACCATATAGGAAGGAACACTTGACTCCTGTATCTACCACAGCCAGGGCCCTCTGCACATTAGAAGGGGACCAGCGGATTGCCAATTCTGCATGCAGACTCTGGTCCCTGCCAGTACCCTTCAGATGGGTCCCTCAGCCCTCTCCCTAGTCAAACCAGAAGAGAGACTCCATTGTCGGTTCCTGGTTTGCTCAGGTGCACTGCATGGCCCAACTGCCAGTCCCCATGTACCACACAACCCAGGCCTCAGTCCCCTCAGGGGTACCACACAGCCGATTCCCAGTCTCCTCCCTGTTCTTGGAGTCACCCTGCCTTGACTACTCAGCGAACCTGTCTCCCTTGATGGGGTGCTGCCCCTGGCAGCCCTGTCCCCATCCCCCCAGGTCCTGCCCTCATGGCTGAAGCGCATGCCAGCACCTTTGCGCTCCTTCTCCTGCTGCAGGCATCGTGAAGCCCTGCGGCAGCTCCGGCAGCCCTGCAGGGATCTCAGTGCTCATCCTGCCTCCAGGACGACCGGGCTGTCCTGTACGGAGAGCTACCACCCTCACCCCTGCCTCAGGCCAGTGTCGGCCTCACAGCCACCGAGCGAGCACACTGGCTGCACTAGTGGCAGTGAGTGCAGCACACTGGAGCCCAGTGGCCCAATTGACCCAGCTGCTGCGGAAGGATCATGGCCCTGGGAGGCCTAGGAGCATCTCCTCTGTTTTCAATGAAATGAACGGCTGTTCCTGGTTTAATTGCTGCGGGAGGAGAACCTCCACCGATTCAATAGGTGACTGCCACTTGCTGACAGTCTCTAGGACCTCCCCCCATTAGTCCAAATGGTGCCATTACCCAGTCCAACAAAGAGTTAGTTGCAGGCCCTCCTTGTACATACCTGTGGCTATTCTGCCATCTGTGCAGTAGGGGTTTCATTGTAATGGAGGCTAATTCCTGTCTCCTGTTCAGTACACACAATGCCATCCACCAAGTCCCACAGTCTCAACAGTCATGCAGCCAACAACTCAACAGGCATCTGTCTGAACTGTTTGCCCAGACTCACCAATTTTGCCTGCGTATACAGGTGGTGCGGAGTGAACTCCATCACTCGCAGATTACCTGCCGGTTTGCCCCCTGGGCCGTTGGCTGCAGAGATTTCATCTTCTGCCTTAGCACCAGTTGAGCCCTGAACTGAGCCTCACCGTCCCCATTCCTACCTGAAAAGTCCACTCTGACGAAGAAACGTGAAGAAACCCTCAACCGCCCTGCTCTTCTGTGTGCTTTCGAGAATGGCATGGACTTGCCCACAGGCGGCTAGGGATCCTTTCAGGGGCATTTGGGGGAAACTTTCAAGGGGCAGTGGAGTGCCCTGCATGTGGTGCCGGAGGGCCCGGGTACCCAGGAATGCTTGGCAGGTGTGAGTGCAGGAACAGAGCTACAACTTTCCCAGGACAAGCCCACCACTTCCACCACGGCGGGCTCCGGGCACCGCTCATCCTCTGCTTGTACTTGCGGTCTCAGTCACCCCAGTTCGCCCTGTTGTTCCCGAGTTCATGCAGCCCCCTGTAGGCTAGCGTCAGCTTCAGCTTGCAAGGGTGTAAGGAACACCCAGGCCACCACTCCTGCCGTGATGTGAGCTGTTTCTCAAAAAAGCTTTCTCCACCTGGCCGGGCATCCCATGCATCTCGGGTCATTGGGGTGCCCAAGCCAAGAGGAGGGAGGTCACTGGGTACCACACACACATACTGGTGGCCAACCACACCTCTTCTCCACCCCCCAGATGCACACTGGGCCCCATATGTGACTCTTCTGAATCCTGCCGACTACGCCACTTGTCTTGCCGGGAAGTGTGGTTCACAGAGTTCCTTGTGGAATGGGACAGTCTGAAGCAGGAAGCCGTAGCCGAAGGAAGCTCAGACATAACCTTTATTGCAGTGCAGTGTTCAGGCTCCCTCTCAGGCTCGGTTAGAGGCTCACTCAGCTTCACTACCAAGAGTCTCCTCCCTCTTTATACTGCCTTAAACCAGAGGCATGCTGCCAACATTACAGCCCTGGTTATATGGCGCCAACCAGGGTCACTGACTCACCAGGGTGGCCCTTCTGGTAGAAATAGGCGAAAGAGTCTGACCGACTCCATTTTCCCTACATAAAAGAAGTAAATGCACCCAGGAAGTAGGATTGTAAAGGCATGTGGCAAACTTCCAGCACAGACGTTCTTTTGATCCATATTATTCACTGACAGGCTTTCAACAGGGACTCTTGCCATTTGCATCAACCCAATCCATGAGAGCAAGGGCACACCACGGCCCAGGGACCAAATCAAAGGCCACCCACGGCTGGGTTTTGTAAATGAAGTTTTAACAGAACTCAGCCATAGCTGGTCCTTGAGTAGTGGTGAGTAGTGGACCAAGGAATGGCCAGCAAAGTCAGAAATATTTACTAGCTAGCCCTTTGCAGGGAGAGTCTGTCAACCTCCACAGTAGAGAAGCCACAAACTACGGTCACTTTCTTCCCTAAACCACTGGGAATGTCAATGGT